TTCGGGGGGCGGGGGCTGCTGAGAGTCTCGATGTCTAACAAAGGCCCAGGCGATTCTCAGGGTAGCCAATGACAGAGCTTGCAGGCAGACGGGGCTGATGAACAAAGCTATCCGTTATCAAAATACAAATACAGAAAAATGGAGTTTACAAATTAAAAACAAAAGTTAAAAAGGAAAAGATCGATCCAGGGGAAGAAGCCACTGTGTGTCACTCCCTTCAGGGATATGCCTTTTCACTGACCGTGCTGGGAGAGGACAAGTCTGCGTCCCCTGTCACCCTGGCACTCATCCCCCAGCTACAGAAGAAACAGGAAGTTAGCAATAGGCAAAGGAACTCTTGGGGAAAAGCACACTGCAGAAGCAAGTAAACCCCTTCAACCTGGAATCCCTTGTTTTGAGTCTCTGCCTAAAGTCCCCCACTGGACAGCCAGTGAGCACACAGCCCCCGCGGAAAGAACCCCACCTTCTCCACCTACCCATGAAGGGGAACCCAAAAAGATGAAAGACTCCACACACTCATCCTGCTCCCAACACGGAGCCTTGTGCAAACTAAGGGCAGAAAGTAAAGCAGTTCATCTGACAAAAAAAAAAAAAGGCCCGCAACTGTGACAGCTCCAAAAATTTTCAGAAAATAGCACAGCTGAATTAATTAGACCTGGTTCAGGGACTGGCACTTTCTAGGGAATTAATGACTGCCCAGGAGCTGATGGCCTGAGGCGAAGCCAGGGGCCATTAACCCTCACCAGCCAGCCAGCCAGCCAGCCAGCGGGAGGCGTGGGAGCAGGGCCACAAGGCCAGGGCACCCCGGCCTGGGCGGGGTGGCCTGATCTGGGGATGGCTCCCATCACTAGCACCGTCTGTGTGGGTGTCTGCGGAGAAGCGTGCAGGATGCCTTTAGGACACGGACCCCAACCACCCCGTGCTACAGGTGGAAGCGGCGGGGGTGGGGGGGTGTGAGGAGAGCAGCTGTGTTTCTGCCCTAAATTTTATGGCATCAAGGATGTAGCTGTCTGGGAACATTTCCTGAATGTCCAGTATGTGACAGCTGCTTGGGTGCTGTGCTTACAGACCCCGGTGCCACCTGCTGTCCCCTTCCTTTCAGAGCTTTCTTGTCCCACCGCTGGGGAAGGCTGCAGCCATGGCCGAATCAAAGGGTGGGGGATGAGTCTGCTAGCCTCCTGGTTCCACGCCTGGTTCCCCAGATCGAGCACAGCTCGATCACCTGTGAAAAACCTCATACCTGCTTAGGACCAACCCCCTACCTGCTTAGAAATGGGATCAACAACACCTGTCCACTGAGGTCGCAGGTGTGGGAATCGCCCCCACCCGGCCCTGAGCGGAACCCCGCTTCCCCATCCTGCAGGTGTGTGCCTCTCTGACCTGCAGTCAACGGGCAGGGGCGCAGGACCCACCTTCCTGGCCTGTCCCGGCACCTGGCTGTGCCTGCGGGAAGCGCTCCCCCAAGTGGGTGCTGCGGGCATGGCTACCAACACCCTACACAGACCTACTGCTCAATGTGGAGGCACAGAGCCAGGAATCCCCATCCTCACAGCCGCTCAAAGACCCCTGGAGCGCAGGTCCCCCTCACGGTCAGCAAACAAGCAGAGAGGGGCTGTAGGATTCGGGGTGTGTGGGGGCCAGTTTTCACCACTTACAAACGCACTCCATAACCGTGTTCTAATGAGAACATCGGCGGGCGGGACGCCTGGCCTCCAACTCTTGGCTCAGGCTCAGGTCACGATCTGAGGGCCGTGGGATCGAGTCCCCGATGGGCTCTGTATTCAGCGGGGAGTCTGCTGGAGATTCTCTCTCTCCCTCTGCCCCTCCCTCCCGATGCGGGCTCTCTCTCTCTCAAATAAATAAATCTTTAAAATTAATAATAATAACATCGGTGGGAAACAGAGGAACAACCGTACTGCTTCTGGAGGGCAGTGGGCATGGCGAATGCTGGGGGCGCCCTCTGGGGGCATCCTCTGGGCGCCGCCTGGCTGGCCGCAAGCCCCTGCACACACATATCCTGCGTGGGAGAGAACGTGCTGCGTGGGAGGGGAGCCAGGCCCACCACACAGGAGAGAAACACACATCGCACAGCAGAGGCACGTGCATGGGACATGTGAGCTCGGCAGGTGTGAGGGGAACACGCGGGGTGGGTGTGCAGGGGCGCGAGCACAGGCTCTGGCCCTCCCTCTCACTGCCTCTCAGAACCGTGACTGCCCGCGGCCCGCGTCTGCCCCACCACCTCGCTGAGCACGCAGCTCGGAGCACAAACCATTCACACACAACATCCGCGTTTGTTGGACGAGTGCATGCGTGCACGCACTCCTGACGACGTCACACGCTTTCCCAGAAACAGGGACTCTTTGATACCTATCATGTGGAGTCACCCACGAGAGGCCGCTGCAGGCGAGGCGTGGAACCAGGAGGCTAGCAGACTCACCCCCCACCCTTTGATTCGGCCATGGCTGCAGCCTTCCCCAGCGGTGGGACAAGAAAGCTCTGAAAGGAAGGGGACAGCAGGTGGCACCGGGGTCTGTAAGCACAGCACCCAAGCAGCCGTCACATACTGGACATTCAGGAAAGGTTCCCAGACAGCTACATCCTTGATGCCATAAAATTTAAGTTAAATATTTACCTTGTCCGTGCCCTACTGGAAAGTTGGGTTCTAAGACTGACTCTTAATGACAAAAGTCATTCATTTCACTAGGTCCAAGGACGGATGGCTGTATTCTGGAAACCAGGACTGTCTGTGTCATGAAACTACATTGATGCAACAGGACATACAGAGCTGTAATCGGCAGCGCGCTGCGGGACGCTGACCTCACAACCCGGGGAGTCCCAACTCCCTGCACGGTGCTCCCCACAGAGCCTGCAGAGACCTTGCTCCAACAGGATTTAAAGAGGATTAAAGCACGTCAGGTCATCTGGGGCTGCTCCTCTCTTGGGGCCACAACTAAGTCTGACTTGTGGATGCCCTCGTTGCTTCATCTGGCCTTTAATTCACTGAGCATCCCTCATGACATCATAGTAATTTCTTCCCTAATCTCAGAGTTAAGAACTGATACCTCCACCAAAACGTTCCATGGGACAGCCTCAGGGCCGAGCAGAATTGACAAGCAGGCGGGAGAGGTGAGGCGCTTCAACACTGGCAGACAGGGCCCCGCGGGGCTCCCCGACACCTGCCTGTGACGGCTTCCGGGGTCGGCGGTCGGCCCCACACGGGAGCCACGAGTCCGCCTTCAGACTCCCCCCCCAGCGCTGCTCCCGCGGGGCCGGGCCTGCACCACAGCATCTGCGCGCGGGCGCCCCCCCAACCCGCAGCCCCGAGGCACCCCGTCGGGCGCCCCCCCGACCCCTACAGCAGCCCCCACAGAGCACAGGCTCCTCTTCCCCGCAAGATGCCCACTGGAAGCCATTTAATAAATCCTCCTTACCTGACATTCTTCCAGAAGGAAAATGACACACACGTTCAGAAAAGTGAAAATTAGGAAAACAATCTACCTCACAAATGCTCACATCACCCAAAGGTAACCGTGGCTCAAATTCTGAGGCCTTGTGGCCTGTTTCCGCCTAGTCTTTGCCGCACGTAAGACTCAAGTCTGTACTTTATCCTCTGCCGTCCTAATCGAGGCATAACTGACGTAATATTCTATCAGCTGCACGTATACATCCAATGACTCAACGCCTGTAGCTATTGAAAAATTATCTGCTTTTTTAACACTACTGGGATCACACAATGTATACAATTTTAACATTTCACGGAATCATCTAATGATTCTTAAATTATGACACTGATAAGTTTGTAACTTAACGAGCAGTCAGTAACAAGCACTCCACCATGAGGAACCAGGTTCCACCGGGTGCAATCATGAATCTGCCACCATAGACAGCAGCTCCATCCAACCTGATACTGGCAGGTGATTGCTGCTAACTGTTTCACAATTATTTGTGCCATTACAACACTATTCCTTGTATAGAAAGGTCTTCCTAGGGGCGCCTGGGCGGCTCAGTCAGTTGGGCGTCTGCCTTCGGCTCAGGTCATGATCCCGGGGTCCTGGGATCGAGCCCTGCATCGGGCTCCCTGCTCAGCGGGAATTTATTTATTTATAAATAAATAAAATCTTTTAATAAATAAATAAATAAAGGTTTTCCTATGTTTTGGGTATAGGAAGTAAAGGTTACATAATATAAACATTTATTTATAAAGCTCTACACATAGGTCACCAAACTGTCAATCTAAAGTCTCTCCTAACAGGAGAGAGGCAATGTCGCTACTCCACACCCAGCAGCAGACTCTTCCACAGCTGTCTTAAAGCCACTCCCCCGTGGGACAGTGGTAACTGGGCAGAGGCCCTGCTCCAGGGCACGTGGCCATTTGCACATTTCCCCCAGGATCCAAGACAGTTCACATCCTCACAACATCCTCAGCACCCGTGGGGTACAGAGAGCAGATGGCTTGATCGCTGTCTTGGCGATGAGGACCATGAAGTCCAGTAAGGTTAATCCATTCGGTCAAGGTCATACGTTTGTGTCCAGCCACGAACTGAGCGCTGGTCTGTGAGTAGCCAACACTCTCTCTACAAGAGTGGCCAGAACAGCCCCTCCCGGAGTGCGTGGCAGTGAAAGCCTGGAGCTCGATGGGATTATGGCCTCATCCAGGCTCGGCTGGAAAGAATGCTGCGAGCACTTACAGTGGTCATCCACCACCCCGAGCAGAAACAGTGGTGCCGACCACGTCCCCTGGATAGCTTATCAATCACTTACACAGCAAACCCTACGTAACCACAGACTAACACTATGACAGTGATGCTACACAGAGTAAGTTTAAATTATTGAATTCAATTATTACATACAGTTGGATATTTAAATCCCAGTGAAAGTTTTATTTTGTTTGTGTGGCATTAATTTTCTCAAATGTTGTTTGAAAAATCAAGAGCAAAATGGTTACAAAACTAAGAATAGGCTTAGTAATTAACATATATACATTTGTCAAAAATAGTTACCTGATTATCATATTTAAGAGACTGCGTCCCAACCAAAAACCGAATGGCATCTGTTTCTGCAGTCTGAGGTGTTAGAGCACGGGCCTGCAGGAGGGAAGGAAAATGCACACACATTTAAGATGTTAGATGTAACAGAGACGATAAGGCAGTTACCTCCTCTACTGCTGCGGGAGTATCAATTAGTACAAAGTGCCCACTAGGCAACTTAGAAATGTGTATGCAAAGCCTCCATCTTTTGTATACTTTGTGACACCACAATTCCATTCAAATGCGGGATGGGCTCCACCTTCAAACAAGAACATTAAGACTTAAATGGAGGTACATGTCATCATCCCAGACAGAAAAAGCCTGAAAGTCCCCAAAAACAGGGCCCAGAAGAGGACTCATCTGAGAGGAAATGATTATTTTCCATGAAAAGACTTGTCTGTGCTTGGAGTCAGCAATCGTGAGCTGACTACACAACGCCTGCATGGTGGCCACGCATGGAAGGTACCACAGAGGGTAAGACAGTAGCCCTGCCCTCAGGAAACAGACCTGCAGGAGACATCAGACAAGACCCAAACAGAGCAGGTGGGAAATGACTACGATTCGGCCCCTGGCCCAGACTGCAGCAGCAAATTAACATTTATCAAAACGCACCCACGAGCTCAACTTCAGGCAGAAGACAGGATTAAATGCCATCACTGGAAAACAGAAGAACACCAGAAAGAAGTAGGTTGTGTTAGTGGCCATGAGACTGGACAAAAGGGCAGCTCAGCTCTACAGAGGCTGCTGAGTGCCATCACGAACCAGCATTCAACCTGCTTCATCCTGAAGCAATTTACAGAGCCCAGAACTGCACCCCTGGGCAGGACTATCGGTAAGCATGCAAGGAAATAAAGTCGAAGAGATCATGTGTTTCAGAGACAAAAGCTACCACAGTTTTAGAGAAGTACTACAAGTCTGACACTACGCATTCTGTCACACACAGTAAGCCACTTCTTTTTTAAAACACTGAATAGGAGGGGCACCTGGGTGGCGCAGTCGGTTAAGTGTCCAACTCTTTGTTTCAGCTCAGGTCAAGATCTCAGGGTCATAACATCGAGCCTCATGTCAGGCTCTGTGCTCAGCTCAGAGTCTGCTCAAGATTCTCTCTCCTTCTCCCTCTATCCCTTTCCCTGCTTGCACACTCATGCACTCTCTCTAAAATAAGTAAATAAAAATAAAAAACTGAAGAGAATTATTCTTACAAAAGAATCTAAACTGAATCTTTAAAAATTACAGTGAAATCTCAAAAACACTGAATCTAAGATCTTTTTAGTACTTTATTGGGTAAAATTATAATAATAACTTAACTCTGGCCATTTGGGTGACGGATGTGTATCCATAATTCTGGTCCTGTGATGAAGTGAATGATCAAATGACCTTCCTACATCTAGTCATAATGATGATTTTGCGGTGTTCCAATGACCTCATTGTTACAAGATCAAATTGTAGGGTATAATAGGTCATAAAACATCTCCGTGTATTTTACCGTGGTTCATCTTCATAATACAATGAAGGAGACCCAAAGTCAAGATGGATAATATTATCTCTACTTAGAAGATAAAGACACTGGGCGCCTGGGTGGCTCAGTTGGTTAAGCGACTGCCTTCGGCTCAGGTCATGATCCTGGAGTCCCTGGATCGAGTCCCGCATCGGGCTCCCTGCTCAGCGCTGAGCCTGCTTCTCCCTCTGACCCTCCCCCCTCTCATGTGCTCTCTCTCTCTCATTCTCTCTGTCTCAAATAAATAAATAAAATCTTTAAAAAAAAAAAAAAAAAAAGAAGATAAAGACGCTGAGGACCAGAGAGGTTAAGTGACTCAGTCATGGTCACAAAGCTCCTAGAGGAAGAACCACCCAGACTCCCAGCCTTGAGTCTGGATCTCTTTCTGTTATGGTGATGCAGGGACCCGGGAACACAGGTAAGATATTTACACATGGGATTGAAGGCAGAGCACAGGCCACTTTATTATCATTCCATGCCCTGTTCTCAAAAGAAGGGCCATGGCACTTTCCTGACACAGCTGTCTTTCCACCCACCTCACCGTTTAGTGAGCCAACCCAGGACAAGGCAACTGGAGGTGCTGAGAAGCCTGGCTCTCACCGGAAGCACTCTGGAAGTTCCACTCCATGACAAGAGGCACAAATCCCAGACCTCCCAGTACTCGCCGAATACTAAGCATTCCCTTGGGAAATTCAAAACTGTCTTCATGTGCTTATTAGTCTGAGCAAGTAAACGCTCCCTCTGGTGAACGTCCAGCCCGGTTCCTCATCAGAACTTCCCCCACCAGGCGCCGCGCCCCAGGCAAGTTTAAGGTGATGCCGGAAGGCGAGGAGGTGGAACAGGACTTGTGCTTAAGCAGCAGAGACAAGGGTGGGTTGAACCTTCTACAGTGGGCGGTCTCCCCCCAGAAACAGCCTCTTTACTGAGAGCTGCCCCAGATCGCTAGGATGACAAACCAGGAAGCTAGTGACCACCCGATGCCCTTCCTCACACAGCAGATCGCCTCCTCAGCGATCTGGCAGATCACTTTACAAACACAAAAGAAAGAGCAAAAAGAAGGTAAAGCCCCAACTTCTTCACTCTGTGCTAGCTGAGTACCTACTTCTCTCCGTCTCCCACACCCAAAATCACAGAGGTCCAGAGTGCATAAGAGGAACACTAAACCTCTTGAGCTACTCATGGATAATTATGGCAACAACACTGCTCCTGGGGACATGGACACGCTCACTGGCGTGTTCACTCACACACTCACTCCTGTAAGTGCAAAGGCTGACCATTCAGCTCCACCAAGGGGCTGCCGCCTGCCCCTCGCCCACTCTACTCTGCACTGCCAGATCCTCTGGAGGCCCCAGTGCAACCCAGCCCGACCTTACAGCGAAGAATTCGCCTCACACTTGAGCAGCAACACAGAAGCCATCGGCTGGCCTCCTGGAGACGTCGCCACCTGCCCTCCTGCCCAGAGAAGGGGGCACCCCTGCCCTCCTACCCAGAGATGGGGTGCCCCTGCCCTCCCGCCCAGAGAAGGGGGCGCCCCTGCCCTCCCACCCAGAGATGGGGTGCCCCTGCCCTCCCGCCCAGAGAAGGGGGCGTCCCTGTCCTCCCGCGCAGAGACGGGGAGCCCCTGCCCTCCTGCCCAGAGAAGGGGGCATCCCTAACCTCCTGCCCAGAGAAGGGGCGCCCCTGCCCTCCTGCCCAGAGATGGGGCATCCTTGCCCTTCTGCCTAAAGATGGGGAGCCCCTGCCCTCCTGCCCAGAGATGGGGTGTCCCTGCCCTCCTGCCCAGAGATGGGGCAGCCCCTGGTGCCCGCCTGCAGCACACAACATTGGGCAGCCCTCTCTCTTCTCTGTCCGTCTCCTCTTCTCTGGCTTCTTCTCCTTAACTAGGAAAATCAAGTCCCATGTCCCCTTGTCCTTTGAAAATATCTCACCTTCACTCATTTGCTTCTCAAGCTGCTGCTCCATTCTCCCATTCGCTGCCAAGCTTAATGGTGGCATAGACAGGGGGAGCCTTCCTCGCCCTGACCGGTTCCTCCCCGTCTGCTGACCTGGCCTCACTGCAGCCAGCCCGCGGCACCACCCTCCCTGTGGCCTCCAGCGTCACAGCCATCAGATGCCCTTGACATGAGAGCCCTCTGTCCCTTGGCCCCCGAGGACCCAGTCCGTCACCACTCAGCCCCCTGCTCACGCTGTGGCTCTGCGCCCACGGTTCCATCCCGACTCTCCCAGGCCACACTGCCCTCCTAGCAAGCCCCCTTCCCACAAGCGTCATCACTGCAACCAGGCTGGTGACTGCGCACCCACTAACCAGGTCCGCGGCTAACAGCCCCTGATCCCACCTCTTGCCTACCAGGCCAACCACACGGGAACCCCTAAGCCCGCATCCCGCCCTCCCTAGCTCCTCTCCAGCCACACCGCCACCCCTCCCCACTCCTTGCTTGAACAGCATTTCCACAACCTATTACCCAACCTTCCTGACATGAGTCTTTATTCCAGGTCACCCTCCACTTCCCACCTCATCAAGTCAAATCGGGCCCTCAGGTTTTCGAGCAGTAGGCTAAAGTCTTCATTTCGCTCTTCCAAACCCTAGGGAATTACACAAAAGCAAGAACGAGAATAAAAAGCAGAAACAGAGACCGTCTTCAATGAAACTCGGAAACATCTATAATCCAAACACATGCCATAAGAAGAAAGACTTGAAGGTAGAGGTCAGAGCCGAGAGGGGGGTTGAAGAGGGCGGGCGCTGGTGACCCCCCCCCCCACCCCGCGAAGATACGGCAGGCACCGCGGGGATGGGACGGCATGACAGGCGCATGGCTGGTGGCAAGAGTCAGAGCAGGCCGAGCAGGCTGGGCATCCCGTCTGGAAGCACTCTGGCCCCACAGAGTGGAGGGGTGCCGCACTGTGGGCAGCCAGCCTGGGCCATCGTCTTTGCCCGGGGATGAGTGAGGGCTGCAGATTCGCTCACAAACCAAAGCCTGGGCTGCAGGAATTCCCGCCGGTCTGGAGCCTGGGCCAGGCCCAACTCCGCGTACAGAGCCTACCGCAGCTGGACTGGAAGGCTCGCCCACGAGACACCAGGATCGGAGGAGCTCAGGAGCCCTGCAAGGGCACCACCAGGAGGGACAGCGAGGCGGAACAGCGGGAAGACCTCGGAAGACACACATGCACTGACCACATGCTGCCACGGAAGAGCCAGAGCTCATACTATACAACCAGGATACGTCTATAAAACCTAGCAGAGCAGTCACCTCTTCAAAAATGAGAGAAAAAAAGAACAGGAAAGTAAAAGGGGACAAAAATCAAGACACAGCTTGGAGAAGATAAGGCACGGCAACCGCAGGCGAAGCCTGGGCTCAAAGAGCTCACCGAGGGAAACGCAGGGCCGCTGCAGGAAGGACACAAGGCTGGACCCCCACTCACAGCAGGGGATGTGGGCAGGGCTAAGAAAGACCCCAAAAGTTTCAGGTAATAAAAGACATCGAGTTCAAAACCGTAAGATACCCAGAAAACAGTAAAATCAAGAAGTCAGTGTTCAGAAGAAAATTCATGGTCTAAATGC